GATGTCCCATCCCATGGCAGCACTGCCTGAGGGTGACAGGGAGCTGGCACCAGCAAAGCCAGGCCCCTTCAGCTGGAGCAGGAACACAGCTCTCCAACTGTCCCCTGCGGGGTGGTTTGAGGAGGTACTTACAGGTGAGTGTGATGAATCCAGGGCAGAAGGGATTGCCAGAAGGAATCAGGGACAAAATACGGGGGCAGTCTCCCCCTCCACGGGAGGAACGTGCTCAGCTGAGCCTGGAGAGGAGCAAAGAGCTCCAGCTTTAGCCTTTAAAGCCCAGTGAAACCTATGGAATTGTTAAGGTTGGAAAAGCTCTCAAAGATCGACCATTAACCCCCTCCACACCGTGTTCAGCATTAAACCATGTCCCCAGTGCCACTTCCAGGGATGCGACTCCACCTTCCAGTGCCTGACCCCCCTTCCAGTGCCTGACCACCCTTCCAGTGCCTGACCACCCTTCCAGTGAGGAAATTTTCCCTGATATCCAACCTGGACCTTCCCTGGTGCAACTTGAGGCCGTTTCCTCTCATCCTGTCCCTTGTTCCCTTGGGGCAGAGCCCGACCCCCCCCAGCTCTCCCCTGCTGTCAGGGAGAAGGTCCCACCTCCCTCTAAAGGCCACTGTCACCCAGTTCTGCTCTGACAGGGCCCTGCAAGTGCTCCTGGCAGCAATTCCCTCCCTATTAAGGGGAAGGTTAAAGGTTCCATTGGATCTGATTCCTTAGGATGGTAAAAGCAAATCAAGCAAATCCCAGATCCCCCCAGCTCTGCTTTTGGAGCACAGGTTAAACCAGCCTGAACAAAGGGAGCAGATTGTTTTCCCTGGGAATGCTCCCAGCCTGGATTACCTCGGGGAGGGGGGGACATGGTCCCTGCTTTGCTGGGGCAGATCCAAGCAAGCTGTGACTGTTCCCAAACATCCCTCTCCAGCTCCGTGTCCCAGTGAGGGACCAAACTGCCTCCCAGTTTGTCCCTTTGTGCCGGATGAGGCCACGCAGCTGGAAGCTTTAATTACTGCTCAGTGGGGGGTAATCAGAGCAGGGCAGGATTATTCCCAACTCCTTGGTGGGGTGGGGAGATGATTTCAGCAAGGCAGGAGGGGGATGGGATGATTCAGGGATGGGCAGTGGAAGGAAGGGGAAAGCACAACCAGCATCCCTCCCAGCATGGAGTGAGGCTGTTACTTCCCTGTTATTCTTTGGGATACTGTAGGGCTCGTGCCTCCTGTGGGTCAGGAATCCATCGACCATCACTTCCTCACCTTTGGCAAGCTGAAGCCACAGCCAGAGTGCCACATAATTCACTTCCATGGCTTGGGATCTGACCTCCATTGGAAGCAGGAGCACCACAGCTGCCTTGGCCAGACACAGGGATGTTCTCTCCAATCAAGAAAACATCTCTGTGCCAAAACAATCAGGAATTTTCTTACCCAGAGCTTGACCAAAAGCAGCAGCCTGGGAGGTGAGATGGGTTCCAGCAACTTTCCCCTGGAGAGGGTGGGAAGGAGAAAGGATTGGGTGGAAAACCCACCAAACGACTCCCAGGTATCCAGGCTGCTTTGGGATGAAGAGACACCAGCAGATGACATCTAACTGGGAGCACTGGAATAGTAACAGCTTTAATTGGAATATTCTTTTTCCAAAAGTCTTTTTTTCTTTTAAAAAAAAGGAGAAAAAACCAAAAAGGAACATTAAACAACAAGAACAACAAGCAGGCACTGCACAAGGGGTGGGGGGGATGCAAAGCCCAAAGAGATCATTTGGAGAAGGGCCTGAAGGAAAAGGCATCCCAAGGACATATTCCCAGTCCCAGCAGGTGAGGAAGGATTGGATTTCAAGCCGAGGACAGGGAGAAATTAATGGAGTTGTCACCCCACAGGTCCCAAAACATGCTGGCTGTGATGCCATGGGACTGGGGAGGGCACAGGGTGTGGATGAGCTGAGCACAAAGTGGTTTAGGCAGCTGCTGAAATGTTCAGGTGGGAATTTGCAGAACCTGAGGTAGAGAGAAAAACCAAGGAGGGAGGGAAAATGAACTGCTGGAATTATCCAGGGACATCCCTGAATCCCAGGAGGCCCAAACTCCTGCCCTCCCCTGCTGCTGACACCCTTCCCATCATAGGGCCTGCCCAGGAGAAGGGGAAAGCTGAGACTGGGGGAATCTCCCAGGAGAAAGGCATCCATCCCTCTGCCTGCACAGGGAGGTGCTCCTCACTCCAACAGGGATTTCTGCTCCTGCAGGGAGAAAATGTGGTCTTGGGGTGTCTCAGGGAGACAGAAAGGGGTCTGGCTGCTCAAATCCCATTGAGTGGCACAGGAAACTCCTCCAAGAGTTTCTCCACAAACCCTGGGAGAAACTTCAGGTGCTATTTCACTTGTGGGGTCCACGGAGTGATCATGGATGTGATCCTGGGAAGAGGAAAGGAGACCATTCCCTTTGCCAGCACCATCCCATTCCTTCTCTCTTTTCTAATTAACCTTCCTGTTGTAGCAGCTTTTCCCTAAAAAAAGAGACTTTGCCCTTAAAATAAGCTTTCTGTGCCAAAATGTTTCCCTACCACGTGAAATATCTGAAAGCTGGGAGCAGGAGGAGGAGGGAAGGTCATTCCAAAAGCTTGGATATAAAAGGAACAGGGAGAAAAATCCGAGCACTCAGCGCCACAAATCCTGAGCTCGTTGGCACCAGGTTCAGAGCAAAGATTATTTCCAAGTTAAACTGGACTCAAGGAACCTTGAAGCCCTCTGGAGTAATGGCAAGGAGTGTTAAATCCCTGGAACATCTCCAGTGAGGTTGGATTTCAAATTAGGAGAAAAATTATCTCTTTTCCCTTTTATTTTTTTTTTTTTGGATGGCAGCAATTCCCTCCCCTTTCCCGGCCTCTTGCCCCCAGTTTGGTGCCAGGGGAGGGTGATCCCCTCTCAGCATCCTCCTGGTCCATCTCCCAGGGAGGTCTCTGGAAAATCCCAAACCTCCAGCTTCTTCCAGAGGTGAACTGCAGCACCTGGGTGGGATGAAGTTGGAAGGGGCAGCATCTCCCTGTCCACAGAGGAGCAAACACCCAGTCTGCAGACACATGAAAACAACCCAAAAATCAGCCAAAGGGCTCACAGGGCCTGGCAATAAAACTAAAAAAAGGTCTTTTTTTGGTGCAAGGTGCTTGGTGGGTTGAGGACATCCCAGATTTGAGGATATTCCAAGTTCATTCAGTGCTTTAGTCACATCTGGTACCTGCCAAAGCCTGACCATGGTGAGGAAGGGCACTTACTGTGCTTCTCCTTAAAATACATATTTACAGGACTCACCTCAAAAAACAGTTTAAAAGTGGATTCTCCAACCTAAAAAACAGCCACAGCTTCCCCAACCCCCCTCCAAAGTGGTTCCAACTTTTACTGCTCATTACAAAAATTAGACTTTTATTTGGAAATGCCTAAAAAACCCCATCTCTGTTGTGCTCCCTCCCCACCCTGTCACCCCCCCACAGGTTTCTTTTAGTAAGACATCGTTTCGGTGGATGACAAGCCATCCCCTGCCAGATGAATTCCCACCAAGGAGGGATGTCTCTCCTGCTGATTTCCAGTCCTGGTAGAGAACTTGCAAACTTTGGCCTCTTAAAACCCGGGCAGAGCAACCTCCACTTCTTCTTTTGCTTAAAAAAAAAGAGGGGAAAAAAATCCTAGGGAAGGAGATGTGGAGAACCAGGGGCTAAATGGCAAAATCCTCGTGGTCCTGGGGGCTGAAGGCAGCTGCCCTCAGCATGTCCAAGGAGTTGACGAGGATCAGGGTGCCCGTGAGATGCTTCCAACGCTTGGTGATGGGGTTCTTCATCTTGTCCAGCCCCGTGTGCAGCTCCTGGATGACATCCCGGTAGCTGTCCCCCATCTGGCTGCTCCAGGTGAGCAGGAAGTCGTAGGCTGGCTTCCACATGGCCTGGAGGGATGGGGAAGCAGAGCAGGGTGGGTGGTCAGCAAGCAAAGCCACCCCTCATCACGCCCCACCATCCCGGGACAAGAACATCCCTGAAAAAACACCCCCCAGCACACCCAAATCCCTTGGATCCCCCAAAGGTGCTCTGCAGGTATCTCCAGAGAAACATGGAATTGTTTGCGCTGGAAAAGACCTTTAAGATCAGCAAGTCCAAAGGGGCACTGGGGTCTCATTCCAGAAAAAAGGTCCTTTCTGCTGTATCTGACGTGGTCCTGTGGAGGATCTGCCCTAGAGCTGGAGGCACCAGGGTGCTGAGGAGCTCGTGCTTGTGCAGAACTGGGCCTAACTGTCTTGTGCAGCTGGGAATTAAACCTGAGATTAGCTCAATGCCAAGGTTGTGGGGTCAATCCCGGGATGGGGCCCTTCAAAGAAGAGCTGGACTTGAAGCTCCTTGTGGGTCCCTTTCGACTGGGAGTATGAACCTGGTGGACTGGGAAGCGGTGGGTCAGAAATTGGAGCTGATGATCTCAAAGACCTTCTCCAGCTGCCACGATTCTCAGAGCTGCCACCCAAGGGGACCCCTGCAGACTCGGACCCACCTCGGTGTCCACCGTGCCCGTCCTGTCCCGGTGCGGGGCCTCGTAGGCGTCCAGCTGCTGCCTGGAGACCTTGGCCAGCTTCTCGGCCAGCTCCCGCCAGCGCTGGGCCACCTCCACGGCCGTAGTCAGCAGCACAAAGTCCTGGATGAGCCTCACCACCAGCCCCTGGCAGTCCATCTTCAGCAGGGCCTGCGGGGGAACCGCAAGAGGGTCAAGGCCGGGGACTGTGCAGGGAAGCCCCTCCAAACCCATCCCAAAAATCCTCCCACCCCCCTTCCAGCGACAGCTGGTGCAATTAGGCCACCAGGCTGGGCAGCAGAGTAATCCACCAGGCTGGGCAGCAGAGTAATCCCATTAAGTGGACAAAGCACCCAACCCCTCTTTGACAACATGCCCAGCCTCATTTTCCAGGCAACCTCCCCGCCCTGAGGTGTTCAGGCACCACCATAAGAAGTTTAAAGCATCCCAGGAGCTGAGGAGAACAGATGCTTTTAATCAAGATAATTAATCCAGCAGGGATTAATCCAGCTCCATCCGTCAGACCAGTGGGTAAGGGGCAAACAGAACATTTTGGGATGGGAACTGGACATCAGCCTTGTGGGGTGAGACCCAGGTGAAGACCCAGACACTGCGGGACCATCGCTCAGCTTGGGATGTTCTTCCTCTTCTCCACTTCCTCCTCCTCCTCCTCCTCCTGCAAATGGTTTTGAAGTGGGGAAGAGGAACTGCAGCAGTCCTGGCTTTCCAGGTAGGAATAACTTAGCCAGGAAAAGAAAAGGATGGAGTAGGGTCAGCTCCTGTCTTAAGGCATCAAATTACATTAAAATCCACTCAGAGTGGGATGAAGGGCAGTAGAGGAAAGCCACAGTGTAGCCCTGGAAAGGAAGGGTTTCATGGCAATTAGCAGTGCCAGAGGATGGGATCTAACTGCCAGGATCATCATCCCACTCCCCAGGGCTCCCTCAGCCTCTGCTACAGCCCCTGGACCAACACAGCCCCAGTGGCAACCGCAGACCTTGGGCAAATCCCACCTTGAACCTCAAGTGACTCCTACAGGAAGCCATGTCTATGTCTATTTTATGTTATAAAACCATGGGAATCAAGCAAACAGACCCCAGACTATCCCTGGGGGGACAGTTTGCTGGGTACCCTCATCCATACATCCAGATCCAGAGCTGTGGCACCACTGGACTCAGGCTGGTGGCTCCAGGATGGAGGAATGCCAAGAGGTCCCTCACTCCAGTAAAGGCAAAGCACCAGCTGAGGGATGCAGGGAATAGCCCCCCAAGGGATGCTGAGCACCCAAGGAATCAAGGAACAGCACTGGGAACATCACCCACACCTTCCCAGCAGCACAGGGACGGCTATTCCAGAAACCATGGATGTGGGGGTTTGCCACAGGGCCAGAATCCACCTGCCTTCCACCACAGCGGGTCTTGACATCCTCTCCCAACACGGGGGTCTGGCAAACCCCACCTGGTTGGGCTCTGGGGCAAGGAAGGGTTAAATCCTCCCCCAGGCAGTTTCACAGGGTCAGCTGGGGGAAGATGGGAACATCTGAAACCACTCCAGCAATTTGCAAAGCAAATGCACCCTTGATTTTCCCCTTCTCTGTCCCCAGCTCAAAGCTGAGCTGGATTCTCAGCACAGCTGCTCCTCCAAAGTGCTGACACTGGTTTCCTGCAGGAGCAAGGGAAGCAATAAACCCCCTGGTTAAACAAGCCAGGAAAATCCTTTGAAAAGAACATTCATTATGCCTTTCAAAAGACATTAAGAAGCATTTAGATCCCACACCTGTGCCATAGCCCAGCTCCTCTCCTACCTTACCACGCCGCCCACGGATCCACCAGGGGCAGGATCCCGATGGTCCCAAGGAAGGGGCAGGTTTAGCATCCTCAAGCCTGCCTTTGGGGGTGGCTTGATGCCATGCCAACTCCAGCAGCAGCTGGTATTTGGGGAAGCAGGTTCAATGAGCTGCTCTCAGGTCTTGCCCAAGGCCAAGCAGGTCAGAGGCAGCAGGAGAGGCCGCCTGGAGCGGGTTAAGAAGGATAGAGCTGGAGGACATGGATTCTCCTGCTCCTTCTGCTGCTCCAGAAACAAAACCAACAAAAACATGGGCAGGGACACCTTCCACCAGCCCAGGTTGCTCCAAGCCCCGTCCAACCTGGCCTTGGACACTTCCAGGGATCCAGGGGCAGCCACAGCTTCTCTGGGCAACCTGTGCCAGGGCCTCCCCACCCTCCCAGGGAGAAATTCCTTCCCAGTATCTAAAGCCAAAAGAGCTGCCTGTGGTTGCACTGATGGGACCTTCTCCAAGCAAACAAAACAGCAGCAAGGACAGCACCTAATCAAGAACTGTGATTAATTTCTCAAAGGAACAACTTTGGAAGAGATGGATCACGACTGAAACCTCCCGATGGCCAAAGCCCCACCCCCTTCCCGAGCTTTGTCCTGGCAGCTCAACACCCAGATTCCATGGGATGGGGACACCACAAAAGCCAGGTGGGAATGGGTGCAAGGAGGACCCCAAGGTCGGAGCCAGAGGGGGAATATTAGTGGGAACAGCAGCACATTGGGATGAGCTCAACAGACTTAATCCTCCAGCAGGCACTTTTGGGATTACACTGCAAGTTTTTCCATCTTCCTTTTGGGATTACACTGCAGTCTTTTCCATCCTCCTCCCTCACCCTGGACAAGCCTCCAGGGGTAGCTGGGCCCATCCACCCCGTGCCCAGGTGTGACCTGGGCTGTGCCTTGCCAGAGCCTTCCCAGATATTTATTCCCCTTGGAGGATCTGGCTCCGCCAGCCCGGCAGCAAAGAGGGTGTTTGATATTCCAACGCCAGTTCAAAGCGGGAGCACCTCAACTTCAAAGGCATCCAGGGGAGGCTGAATTCACAGCCCAGCTTTGAAATGCACAATCCCATTTCCTAACGAAGGAAAGCAGCAGCTGCAGGAAAACAGCTCCCACCTGGGACCTCCACAAACGCAGGGAAAGGCCCCGTGTCCCCAGGAGCTCCTGAGGGCCGGGCTGAGAGGACGCTCCTGTCTCCATTGTCTGCTCCAGGATACAGGGGAGGTTTTGACCCAAACAAGTCAGCTCTGCTCCCCAAAATAACCCTTGTTCAGGGATTAAACACCTCTTTTGCTCCCATTTTTGGCTGTCAGCACCTCCAAGATCACGTCACACACTTAAAATACCTCACTACACTCTCTCAGTCTTAAATACTCATTTTTTTTTACCTAATGCACTGGCTCCATGGGGCAATTCCCTTGGATGTGATGCCCAGCTGGGTCTCAGTGTGCTGAAGGCATCCCTTCTGACATGACACCAAGTGCCATCAGCCACATTCCCAAGTGGCTTGGAGAAGGTCCCATCAGTGCAACCACGGGCGGCTTTTCTGGATTTAAATGTTGGGAAGGAATTGTTCCCTGGGAGGGTGGGGAGGCCCTGGCACAGGTTGCCCACAGAAGCTGCCCCACCCCTGGAAGTGTCCAAGGCCAGGTTGGAGCAACCTGGCAGGTGTTCCAGCCCATGGCAGGGGGTGGCACCGGATGAGCTTTAAGATCCTCCCCAACCCAACCCATTCTGGGATTCCACGATTGCTTCAGGATGGAGGAGCAAGAGGGACCCAACACCAGCCACCCTGGGTGTGGCAGCACAAGGTCCAAGGCCCGAACACCCTGATCTGCAGGACTTTAGGGATTTGTGGAGGCCCCCAGCAGCTCTTTGGGGTCTGCACACACCAGGGACTTCTGGTAGAAGAAAGGCAGCACGAGACACCTGCAGTCAGAGCAAACAAAACCAGGGGAGGGAGAAGAATCCCAACCTCTTCTCCTGCACAACCTGCACAAGCAGCCTGGAGAAGAACAAGCTCACAGTTTCCACAGCTCTGTGCTGACGTGCCTGGGTGCATTCCCAGAAGACCTGTGTTTTTCCCAACAGCCTGTTGGGAAGGATGATAACTGAGGGTCTCCATAGAAACCCTGTACTGAAAAGCTGCAGAAGGGAACTCCTGTGTCCCAGGACAGGTCTAACCCCACCACAGCCATGGTCAGGTACCAGTGGCAACAAAATCTTCCTGAATCCGTGCCCAGGTGCTGGTTTTTAGCCAAACCATCCGTGCTCTTCCTGCAGGGAGGAGGGAGGGTGAGGTTTCCCTTTCTGCTGTGGTGATTCCCATCTGAGCAACGTTGCCCCAAGTTACCTTCACACTCTGCTGCTACTACTCCATTAGAAAAACAGTCATTAAAGGCAGATTACTTATTAACTAGTCATCCTGACCAGGCTTTTCCATGCTTGGCTGCTGGTGCAGTAGCTCTGCCACTGGAGTTTTGTGTCCTGAACTCAGGAAAACCTGCTTGGGACTTCTCCTCTCAGTCCTTTTGAGGGGAGACAACCAACTTGAAGATGACATGGCCAGTTTGGAGCTTAATGCAACCAGTTCTTGCCAGAGAGCAAGAGTCCATTTGTTGCAGATAAAATCAGATTTAAACACAATAAAATACATTACTGCTCCATTGTCAGCCCCCGAAACATCATTATTTGCTTCTTCCAACAGGCTCAATCTAATTTCTCCCTAAGCCAAGGAGGATTTGAAGGCAGCAAAGGGTTTGGAAGCAGCATCATGTTCTGTGAAGAAGGGAGCTCATCCTTTATTGACAGGCTCAGCCTCCCAGAGAACAGGATTAGCCTCAAACAAGGGGAATAAAACCTGCCCTGGGACTCTGCACTCCAGGCACCCCTATGGGAGCAGGATGTTTTCCTCCCCCTGAGTCAGCAGCTCCCTGAGTATGCAAAGAGCCTTATCTTGCCCCTTGTCTCCCCACCAAGGTCTGGCATGGATTCTCCAGGACCTACACATTGTCTGGGATCCCTGAAAACAATGGGAGGAGATAAAAGAAACACCTCTGGGTTTGCAAAGGGGTAAAGCAAACGGCACAAAGCTCTTGGAAGCATCCGGCAAGAGCAGCCCAGATTCCATCCCATCATTCACCGAGGTTAAGGATTAAAGGAGCAAACCCTTCCTTGGAGGGACCAGGGACACCAAGGCTCCCACGGTGGGAGTTTTCCAATCCTGGATGGTCCCAGAAAGAGATATAACCATGTGATGGCCAGAACAACCCTGCAACAGAAGCAGAGTTGGTGGCATGTCCTGAAAGCTGGAGGTCAAAGATCAAAGATGCCCCCACAGGGCCACAGAGCGCTACAGGCACAGGGAACTCTCCGGGAGTAACGATGGGTTAACACCTCATCCCTCCTACTCAATCCTCAAATATCCCCCTTCTTACTAAAGGGAGTTTGGGAAGTGGACTCCTTCATTCAGCTCCTGTCCCACTCATCATTTCATTTTGCCAGGCAACTGTTCCTTAATCCACGTGACATTTTAAAGCCCGCGGTTCTCCATAACTCCGTTATCCTGTTTCCATGGGAGAGCCTGGAAGAGGAGAGAGCTGCAAATCTCCACCGGACATTTCTCCCTCTGTTTTCTTTGGCTCACTTCCCATGAAATGCTAGAGACAATCCCGAAGATGACATTTCCTAAGAGGCTCCCTAATGGCATCCTGGAAATACTTACAGGCAGCACTTTCCCAAATTCCTTTCAGGGCAAGAAGCAAGTCGTGCATTTCCAACTGCAAACGCCATCCACAGCTGGATATAAAACGTTCTGGCTCAGAGGTGCCCTTGGCTAAGCTGCCACTCAAAAAAAAGACTCTCCATCCCTGGAAGTGTCCAAGGCCAGGTTGGACAGGGCTTGGAGCAACCTGGGATAGTGGAAGGTATTCCTGCCCATGGCATGGGGTGGCACTGGATGAGCTTTAAGGTCCCTCCTGACCCAAACCACTCTGTGACAACCAGGGTGAGATGGGGGGCCCTAAAGGTGCAGGCTGTGGGGACAGTGAGCAGAGCATCCTTGGAGGCACCTCTCCCAAAAACCTAGGGTGATTTGAGGGTTCCCAAAAGGCACAGGCTGTGGGGATGGTGAGTGGGGCATCCTCCAACCCTGACACCTCTCCCATGAAAACCCTCATCCCTGGAAGTGTCCAAGGCCAGGCTGGATAGGGCTTGGAGCAACCTGGTCTGGTGGGAGGTGTCCCTGCCCATGGCAGGGGGTGGGACTGGATGAGCTTTAAGGTCCCTTTCAACCCCAGCCACTCTGGGATTCTGGAATTCCAAGTACCGATGGTATTTCACTCAGCATGTCCCTCATTATTTCTGTGATCCCCCCAAGGCAAGAGCCCACCAACGGGCTGAACTTCCTGTTCAGCTGTGCCAAGCAGTCTGCAGAAGACCTTAGAGCCTGGTCTTCAAGGTCCCTTCAAGAGATTGGTCTCTATCTTAATTCAGTCTGAATCAAGACTCTTTCCCCTCCCGCTCACCCGAATCCCCCTGCACAGCAGGGAATGAATACCCCTCACCACGCCTTGGACTCACCGTCATCAGCTCCTTCTGGAAAGATTTCCTCTCCTTGTTCTCCGTGCTGTTGCAGTCTTCCTTCAGCTTCTCCAGGACGGAGGCCACCCTCTCGGGCTCACTGTCCAACTCAGCCCGGCAGAAGAACGTGAGTGGCAAGTTGGAGTAGCCCAGGGCGTCGGCGAAGGACCTCCAGCTGCTGAGGTTCTCCATCAGCAGAGTCCTCACCGAGGCGTAGATGTAGGTCAGGAACTTGCAGGGCCTCAGGATCTGCTCCAGCAACAGGCTGGTGGTGAGATCTGGCCCAGAGAAGTAGCTGGGCTTGACCTTCCCAACCACCAGCACGTTTTTGGTGTGCACGAGGCCAATTTTGCCCTGGTAGTAGCCAATGTACCACTCCTTGGTCCACAGCTGGCCTTTCAACCTGATCTTCTCCTCACTGAGGAGGGCTATGACATCTCCTTTCTTGTACTCCAGCAAATAGTGGTTCTTGCTCTGCCTCACCACCGTCTTTAGCAGCTTGCCGTACTTGAGGCTCAGCACCGGCCGGTCCTGAAAAACCGGATACTTGGCGGTGGCAGCCAGCGGTGACAGGATGATCTTCCCAACCTCATTCTTCTTGAGGAACCGCCTCTGTCCCGTCGGCTTGATGGCACTTTTCGGAGGCGGCTGTGGCGTCTGGACGCAGAACTGGGTCAAAATGGCATCCTGGTCATCCTTGACCTGTATCCTCAGTGTGAAGTCCGAGAGCTCGTTGGGGTCGTGGGACGCGATGGGGAAGATGAGGCGGCTCACCTTGCCCAGCTTCATCTGGAAGCCCCGGACGACCTTGGCTTGTTCGCTGGCCTTCACCTCGTAGTTGGTCATGTTGGAGAACATGCAGAGCTTGAGGTCCTGAGGCCGGGACAGGGCAAACTGGTGCTTCCCCCAGAGCTGGAGGGCGACGGGGGCCGGGCTGTGGGACTGCCTGGTGACCTCGTTCACCAGGAGGGTCTTGGGGGCACACTCGTGCCCAAACATGGCCACCACGGTTTTGAAGGAAGGGTGGATGTGTTTGGGGCCATAGACGCCCACTGTGATCTTCTTGCTGATGTAATCCCAGACGGTGGAAGGGTACAGGATGTTCTGCCCTTGGGCCACGGCTGCGATGTACATGCAAGGCTCCAGGTTCTCCAGCTGCACCTGGATCGTGTCCCCATAGGAATAGCTCAGCTGCAGGGGTGTGTACGGCCCCTCCTTCATGTCGCTCCGCAGGCACTGCAGTCCCACCAAACTCTTGCTCGTGATGTCGTTCTTGACCTCCGCCGACACCTTCATCTCCAGGATGATGAAGGTTTTCACCTCCATGTTGCTGAGTTTGATCTGCAGGACGGGGCTGATGGTGCTGCACTTGTCGCTGTTGAGCTCCAGCGGCGGATCCAGCATGGCCTTCATGGAGATCTGCTGCGTCTCCCCGGGGCACACGTGGCCCTCGGGCACGTGGATGCTGATGTTGGTGTCTGGCAGCTGAACGGCCCCACCAGAGCTGTCCAGCTTGCACACGATGTTGGTCTCCACCGGCTGCGTCTGACCCCAGCCAGGGTTCTGACCGAGCAAATCCAAGTCGTGGCAAGACCGAGCCAGCTTCCTGTGGTTCAGCCACGCTGTCCTAAAGTCCTCCCGGCTCTGGAACTGCTCAGGGGTGGGAGACTTCAAACCACTGAAGAAACTCGACGATGCCGGAGCGTCTGACTTGGCCTGGAGAACAGACAGTTCAGACAAGCTGTAGGAGCGTTTACTTCTGAAGAAGGGGTTGTCTCTTCTCACAGGCTGGTCCAGATCCAGCCTGTTTGTGGATGGAAACTCATCAAAAATGTTCCCCAGGCTGCTGTTGGCAGCAGAACTGGAGACAGTCGATGCAGGAGCCCCCGTGTCGAAGAGCAGCAAGTCAACGGTGACGCTGGAGTCGGACTCTCTGTCTGAGCCGGGCACCGCGTGCACATTCCCGTTCAGGAACGGGTTCGTCTGGACTCCGTTCAGGAAGGGGTTGTTATTGTGGATTTTCACAGAGTTTCTCTTCGCATCAGTCCACTCCCCAAGCAGGTCCAGCTCCTTGGCCCCCTCGTCAGGGCTCTCCAGCAGGTTGTCGATCATGCCGCTGTCCGTCAGGGAGGAGTGGCGGTAGTTCACGGGCTGCACGTAGGAGGAGGGGATGTAGCCCATCTCCGTGGTGTTGTGGGCGTACCACCACTCGCCCCCCGACGTGTCCAGGACATAAAGGTGGTCCCCCTTGGAGAACTTCAACGTGGTGAAATTGGTCGGACAGTAATCCTTGATTGCTACGACTTCCTTCGCGTTCCCGAAGGACGTGGGATTGTCAACCAGCAAGGCACTGGGAGAAGGCACTGCCAAGGCAAGGAGAGAACAGCACTGTGAGGAAGGCACAGGGGAGTCACCGCTGACTTGCCACCATTTCTCCCAGGTCACCACCTTTAAGTGGTTACGGTGGTTTTAGAATCACAGAATCACCAAGGCTGGAAAAGCTTCAAGACTGAGTCCAACTCTGAACCCAGCACTGCCTGTTCCACCACTAAACTATGTGCCCAAGTGCCATATCTGTGTGGGTTTTGAACGCTTCCAGCTCCACTAATTCCCTGGGCAATCTCCCAAGCCTGAAGGTGTTTTTTCCGTGTAAAATTTTTCCAGAAAACTCTGCTATTTCTGGTACACTCACATCTCCCTTCCCAAAGGGTCCATGTAAACCCAAGAGAACTTTCAGGACAGCCTAAAAGCCCTCTTGCTTTGCTGTAACCCCTCTCCTGCACATGTGAAACATGTTTCAGTGTAAAAACCAACTAAGGGCACATCATATTCCTAGTTTTTCATGTCACACCAGCCAAAACACCCAGCATCTCACTTCTTTTGAACAGCAGCTGTATTTCAAAGCTCCTCAACAAAAATCAACTCCATTGGTAGCTTTAGATTAGGTATCAGGAATTCTTCACCACGAGGGTGGGGAGGGGCTGGGATGGAATTCCCGGAGAAGCTGTGGCTGCCCCATCCCTGGAAGTGTCCAAGGCCAGGTTGGACGGGGCTTGGAGCAACCTGGGCTGGTGGAAAGTGTCCCTGCCCATGGCAGGGGGTGGGATGGGACGAGCTGTAAGGTCCCTTCCAACACAAACCATTCCATGATTCTAAAAAAGGTCCCACAGTTTGAACCCTCCCACAGTGCTGTCGTGGTCCTGGCAGCATCTCCAGCATCCCAGCAGGAAGCTGTTTTCCCAGGGGATCCCAATTCCGTCCAGGCTGGGCAAGCCTACAGTGTCACCCTATTTCTTGGCTTTGCTCTCACTTTTAGGACCTGTTTCTGTACAAAACACTCAAACAAGCTGCAGATGGTGTTACAACAGTGGTTAAATGTGTGTTAGACAGAAAACAAGGAGAGCTGGATTTTCCCCAACACAGAGCTGCAAGAGAACTGGGACAGCACCTTCAACACCTTGAGAGCTCTCTGGAGGGAAAAGGGGATTTAAAAAGCACAGAAAGCCCCTAAAATCCTGGAGATGAGGGAATGGGAGCTCAGACTGCACTTCCCTGCATCCTGCCCCTGACTGGCAGCACTTCTGGGACATGGAGGTAACAAGGCAAGGGAAGATACAGCTGAGCAAAGAAAAGTCTTCAAATACAGGCTAGAGGTGAAAAATTAAGAGGAGCAGAGCATGGACACATCCTGACCAACTCCTCAGTACCTCCACCAGCAGGCAGGCAAAGTCATGAGGGCATTTATCCAGTGTAACACTAGATATAAAGTCTATATTGGAATTATTTTGCCAGCCTGGTAGGTTGGAAGCCACTGTTAACTCAGTCACCTGCAGGACAAGGCATTTTTGGTGTCCCCATTCCTTTGGATCAGCCACGTGGCTGTGTTCCCACGTCCTTGCAGCTGGGGGGTTAACAGGGATGTGCTGAAAGCAGCAAAGCCCTCGGAGAATATGAGTAATTCCTATTTTTGATCTAAAACCAATCCAATTTGCAGCTGAGGGTTTGATGTTCGGCCCCTCCACGTGCGTGTTTATTTTTAAAGGCCCTCAGTGTGCGAGAACTTCCACCTGGAGTTATTCCTTGGGCTGGGCTCGTGCCAGGGGAACAGCAATTCCCCCCTCGCCACCTTTTACGCTGGGTAAGGCAAATACAGCAGGGGAAAAAGCAGTCAAAGAGGGGAAAACACGGAGTATTCAAGCAACCAGCTCTGGGGAAGGGGAACAACAAGGCCCGTAACCGCCTTGGTGGTGTCACCAACCCCCCTGAGCTCCGGGGAAAGGGAACACCGAGGCCTCGCTGGTGTCACCAACCCCTCCTGGACAGCAGGGTGAGGGGGAACGAGGAGGGGGCCCCTCCCCACCCACCTTTGACGTCACCCAGGCTGGTTTCGGTGAAGGCCTCGCCGAGGTCGATGAGGGTCCCCTCGGACTTGCACCGCGGGAGACCCCCCGAGTTGGCCGCCCGGATCCTCTGCGCCGCCATCTCCGGCCCCACCAGGCTCTAGGTGGCCATGGCCTCTCCAGGGACCCCCCTGTCACCTCAGGGAACCAGCCTGGGGGAGAGAGACAAACCCCAGCACGTTAGAAAGGCTCCGGGTGCCATCGCAGCGACAATGACCCAGGGACACACCCAGGAACACATCCCCGTGTTCTCCTTAGAACACCACAGAATATAACCTGGGTGCTCCACAGCACTGTCTAAAAACCACCAAGGGCTTTGTGTAGCAAGGACAGCCTGGTCTTGCAGGATGCTGCTGCTGGAAACAACCCCATAGGAAGAGCTTTTTAGGGATATGTTGCTTCCAGGATCATAAATTGGTCCTTCTCCCTGTTTCCCAAGACCTTCCAGGGCACTTGCACATTGCTGTAATACATAATTATAAAGCCACCAGGCACTGGGTGCTGTGGGAGCCCAGAGCAGTGGAGGACCCACAGGACTGGGATTTTTGCCTGTTTAAATGGGTCACCACTCTCTCCCAATGCAGCACTGGGATTTCCTGGGATGGGGATTGGCTCTTCCTGCTTGCTCCCTGCATCCCTCCCTCCCCAGCCAGGGACCAGGCAGAGAAACACCCCTTCTTGCACTAACCACCCCGCTTCACTTGGGGAAAAATAAAAACACAGAGTTTTTTCCTCCTTTTTCCCTTGCAAAAACACTTCCAGAATCCCTGCGGAAGAGCAGAGAGGAAAATTCCCCCATTTCCCACAGGACACGCCGACATTCCGACCACCAACGTTGTGGCTGATGCAAGCGCGGGTAAGACCTTCCCTGACATCATCCCTGTCCTCTGGAACTTGGAGAGGGGCCAGGTGGATCAGGACAATCAGGGAATGCTGGAGCCTCTCTGCCAGCTGAAGGCAAGGCTGGAGCACAGCCTGAGCTGTGTGTTGCTACTCCAGGGATCCGGCATCATCCCGGTAATTCTGGCACCCAACATCCCTCCATCCCGCTCCCTCAAACTCCAGCCTGGTTGCAAAGCACCAACAGCTCTTAAAAACAGAGTCAGAACTAAAGTTATATCCAAATCCCTGCTTTATGAGGGGATTTTCACCCTCTCCTAACACTATTTTTCCTTTCTCCCCCTCCCATGCAATTTTTGCCTTTCCTCCCTTGAAAATTAGACCAAGCAGAAAACAACTCCCAACCCCAAATTCTTTAGGTGGGAATAGGGAGCCCCCGAAGGATTCAGTGCCCTTTTCTGGAATGCAGCAAGAGGAAATCTGCAGGGGAGAGCCTGAGCAGGAGATACTTTCTGGTTTGAAATGCTTCCCAAGCCATCCCCAGGGCTGGTATGCCGGGAATGTGGGAGCTGGAAGGGATGCACCAGGCTCCAGCCAGAAAAGGGAAGGGAGAACTGGTGTGCAAACGTTTGCCCTTTGAGGAGAGCCTTGTTTGGGGGCCTGCTGGGAGCCAGGCAAGGGGAGAGGGTTTGGCAGGCAATAAATCCAGAGAAACCAGGCTTTGAGTCAAGGCTGAGCTTGGCAGAGCCGGGCCAGGTAAAACAAAGGAATAACCAGGGGGAAGCAAGGAAGGGAGGAAAGATGTTCTCCTTGGCTGGCACAGTTCACCATCCACCCAGGATATGTTTCTGTGCTGTCCAGTAGAATTAATGTTATATTGATTATTTTCTATTAATTTTATATTTACATTAATTTTTATTTATATTATACAATGAATAAATTTTTATATTGAATTTTATATTAATTATTGCAGCTACAGTACTGACAACTCTCACCATTGTATCCCCCAGTCTGGCATTTTCAGGGATGTTCCCTCTTTCTCTATTTATATAACTTCATGCTGAAGATCTCTGACAGATGTGGAGAAACAGCTGGAAACCCCCCCTCTACAGCCAATCCTGAAGCCTCAAAAGGCAACAGGAATCTACATAAAAATGAGGGATGATGGAAAGGCATTTCCTCTCCCAAGAGCAGCATCCTGGATGTGTCTGTTTGTCCTGGATGAAGTGATGCTCACACACATAGAGGAATGAGGGTACCTAAAGGGATGGGGCCCCCCATGGCTGGACTGGGGATGGGAGCCCTATTCTGGAGCTGGGGATGGCCCCAAAATGCTTCTGAATGCAGAGGTAGGACAGAAATCCAGGAGACTTTCAAATCCAGAGAATTAAAGGGGATAGTGGGGAGCAGGGTGAGGGGAAACAAGGCTGGAGGAGGCAAGATTTGTTTAGAAATCACTGAGACAATGGGCTGCAAACTCCCCTGAAAGCACTTTAAATTTAGCCTGGGATTAAATATAGCCTAGGAAAAACCCAGCCCCACGTGTTTACCCAAAGCCATAAACAGCATCGAAGGGAACAGCGGTGGGAAGGAAATCAGGGAGTGATCAGAGCAAGGACAGCGGCAGCATCTCCTCAGGCAGCACCAAAAACCTGCTTCTCACACCACTTTTCCCTCCCACAGGGGGAGAGGGAATGCTCCAGGGTAAAATCCACGCCTTCCAGCCAGGAGGGCCTGCTGTGTGCTCCCCACATCCCAACAAACCCAGCAGGCAGCAGCTGCCAGGAGCAGGCTCCACCGTGGGGACATGACTCTGTCCAACATCCTAACCAGGCTTTGCTGAGGTTTGGGGAAAGTTTAGGGAAGCCCTGAGGGGCACATTCCCATGGGGGCTGGCTGGCACCCCGGGAATCCTCACCAGTTTCCTGGGATGGATGGTGCTGCTTTGGGATTTAACTGTGAGTGAGGTTTCTGGGATGAGACAGATCTGGCTGTGCTTCTCTGGGAAAGGCTTCATCCAGTCCAGCTCCTGACCCTTCACAGGACCATCCTCAACAATCCCACCCTGTCCCTGAGGGTGTTGTCCAAACACTCCTGGAGCTCTGGCAGCCTTGGGGCCGTGACCAAACCCTGGGGAGCCTGGGCAGTGCCAACCACCCTCTGGGGGAAGAACCTTTCCCTGAGATCAAACCTGACCCTGCCCTGGCACAGCTCCAGCCATTCCCTGTGATTCCACCAGGCACGGAGCACCAGCAGGTTTGGGCAGGTGTGGGGCTGGTGATGGTGAAGCATCTATTAAAAGAAAACTCACTAAAGCCTCTTAAATAATGAATCCAAAAGGTGTTTTTTCTGCAGCACTTGAACACATGGAATTCAGCTTCCCAGCAGCAGCATTTCCCGGTGTGAATTGGCATGGAAAAGGTTAAAAAGAACTTCTGCAAACTGTCTAGTATGACTTATCCCAGAAAAACAACCACAGGCTTTCCCTTCCTGGCCCCACAGACCTCAGGGAGACCCCCTGGCACAGGGAGAGCCCCGGGAACATTCCCTGCTCCATCCGTCACACCGAGCTGGTCCTTATGGGATTATGGCACAGACCCACCTCTCCCTGGACAAGGGGCTATAAATCAAGGACATAACATGGCCATGCTAAGCAGGGCTGGCAGGGAAAAGCAATCCCAGGAAAAATACCCTTAATGGAAGCATTAAAACTCCACGTCCTCGAGCAAAGAAATGTCATAAAACAACGGGAACACCCAAAAGTGCAAACCCCGGTTCTGCTGCTGGCCAAGGGAAGGTCCTCTCCAAGAAGCACTGACCAAAGGCCGGAGAGGATCCCTCTGGAAGCCTCAGTGATGGAAAACTCCTGAGTGCCAAGAATTTGGGCTGATAAGGCCGGGGAGGGCTGACAGGGCTGGGTGGTACCAAGCACGGGCAGGGCTGCAGATGGAGCCAGGCCAGGGCAGCACAGGGACCTGCCACCAGCAAAGCATTGATGCACATCCCTGCCCATCCCACACTTCCCAGCTCTCCCTGGAGCTGCGGGGTGCATCCCACCATGGCACACACAAATCCACGGGAAGCACCAGGAACAGGAGCCACCACAACACAGGACTGGTGAGCTCTGCCATGACCACTGTCCTGCACCCCTGTTCTCCCTGGGAAATGCATCCAAAAGCCCCTCAAGCCCTAAGCCTGCGGGACCAGCTCAGGAGAAATGTCCTACTCCACCCTTGGCCACAAACTGAAAGGTGGGAAGTGAAGAAAGAGCTTCCAATCAATCACTCCTTATCCTCTTCCCACTCCAGGGCCAAGATCAACTCCAGTCACTTGTTGCTCATGGCTTTTAAATTTGCTTTTTCTTTCTCCAAACACAAGTTCCTGTGGCCCTCCCACAAACACAGAAGTGTTTTTGGAGGTTTCTTTTCAAAACAGGCCATTTCTCTTGGATATGAGCAAATTTAAATTCTTGGGAGCTAAAAACCCATCTGATGGAGCCACAGCATGACCCACACAGAGCACGTTCATCCCACACAAGGAATTCACTGAACTCATTGCTTTTATCTCTCACAAAACCCCCAGTAACTCAAGCATCGTGGAAACAGATGCAGAAAAGACTCCTCCAAGCCCAGGGGACACCCCAGCCCTGAAGGAGCTGCTCAGGGAGTTGTGCCTGGGAGCGCCAACACACCACAACGTGCAAAGGCCTTCAAGAGAACCTCAGAAAAAAGGGCCAAAAGGGGCCAAAATTTCTGCATTTTAGCAACCAGTATAATTCAGGAAGTTGGGTTTGCTCTGCAGATTCTTCACCCTCGAGAGCTCCCTCCTGCCTGTGGCCCAGCCCAGCCCTGGCCGTGGGGCTGGCATTGCTCAACGCGCAGGAAATGATCCCACCAGCTCGGGTCTGCCTCCTTTCCCCACACTGACACCAACAGATCCTCCAGCACACGTGACAAACACAACACCCTCCGAACTGGGAACGCCCCCAGGGACCCAGCCAGGTCCTCTGCAGCCTCCTACAAGACTGGGATGGCTTCTGAAGCTGCTGGTGGCCTCGTGCCACCTGTGGTGGCCAGGAACACACCAGGACCTTGCAGCTCATCTCCTTGTGATCCTGGCTCTGCTTCAGAAGCCTTGTTGCCAGAGATGGGTGGGGAGGGGCTGGTTGCTCTTGGTTTTTTCCCCCTAGAAGCCTGTCCCAAGCCTTCTGCCAGCAATGCCTCACATCCCAGTGATTCCCGACCTCGTCGCCTTTCCCTTATCTCCTCCTCCTGCTCCAGGGCTTGTGTTTGCAAAGCCAACGCTTTCATCTTCCAAAGAAAAACCCACCCAAGCCATGTGAAGATAAACCACCCCTTAAGACAACACCGAACACGAGCTCTTTGTACCAGAGGGAACGCGGCGGTGTGAACTCACGCATGTCCCGGCACACGCCTCTTTAGTCCCTTTTCCAGCAAACAAGAAGGGATTTGTGGGAACACCAGGACCTCCCAGCCCTCCTGCAGCGCTCTCAGGGCTTTGCTTTGGACCCCATTCCCACCACTGGACCTCATTCCCACTGTCCCTGCTCAGGCATCGCAGCGGAGCCCGGCCCGTTCCAGGCTGTCCCCTCCACTCCTGGCCAAGCCCTAGGGAAAAATCCTGCCCTCCAGCTTAAGCTTGGTTCAGCTCCTGAGCCTGGCTCCTGCTGCCAGGTGAGTTCAAGCCATGCATGGCAGGTTTGATGGAAGAGAGGAAGAAGGGAGGGGAAAAAATGTCATTATGGCCCTGGTGTCCATCACGGCCTTCCTGGTGGGAATGTCACCCCTGTGAGCAGAGCAGGAAGGACGGGAAAGTTTCCTTTTATAGCAAGGACTTTGGAGCACGAGTCCTGCTGGACATCCATCACCAGGGAGACTCAAATATAGGCCAGCCTTAGGGGTGGGAGGGGAAGAGAGGGCTTTCCCTGCAGGATCTCCAAGCACCCCCTGGATTTGGTCATCTGTGTCCCAGACAGTCAGCCCCAAGAAACCACCACGGAGCACAGCAGGACTGGGGCAGGAGGGAGCTCAGGTATTCCACCAAGACTTATCTACCTCCAACTATCCTCAGTCATGAGGACCATTTTAGGGAAAAAACAAGGAGTTTTGTTCCCAACTTGTTGCCTGAGCAAGTCCATGGACATGGAGCAGCTAGCACAGATTCCACTGCTAAGGAACGAAACCTCTCTGGATTATCCAAGCTCACTCGAGAGATGCGATGGTGCAAAAGCTGAGCCTGGGTTTAATGTTCTTACACACCTTCCTGATCAGTCCAGCACTGATCTGCTGCTGCATTACATGACACCAACAATGCTGAGAGGAGCCAAAACCCACCCCAAGCCTAAATGAGGCAGAAACCAATCCAATCAGCACATTGCAATGAATTTCCTCAGCACAGCAGAGGTTTTAAGCTCCTTCTTGGTAAACATTTCCAAACCAGATGCCCCACAGACACCTGGGTTTAAGCAGCTTAACCCTTTGCTGGAGTTGATGGTGTGACAGGAAAACAAGATGGGGGGTTAAACTGGACTGGGGGGTGGTCGCCCCACGGGATGCTCCAGGTTGGACACAATCCCTGGTCCACAAACCATGCTGGGAAGAGGGAGCAGATACCTGGAAAGCAAAGCAATGCCAGGTGATGATGCCATTTGGGATGCATGCAGCAAGAAGGGGTTGTGAGGGCAGATCACAGAATCATGGAATGGTTTGGGTTGGAAGGGACCTCCAAGCTCATCCAGTCCATCCATAGGCAGGGACACCTTCCACTAGCCCAGCTCGCTCCAAGCCCTGTCCAACCTGGCCTTGGACACTTCCAGGGATGGGGCAGCCACAGCTTCTCTGGGAATTCCATTCCAGGGCCTCCCCACCCTCCTAGGGAAGGATTTCTTCTTAACAGCTAATCTAAACCAACTCAAACAGGCATCTGGTCCAGTCCAGAGGCTGGATTGGGACTTGCTGTCTTTGGACTTGATCTCACCTGCAAATCCAGCCAGTTGCAGACCCATCCCAGAAAGTGTTCCTGCTTCAAGTCAGAGCATGCTTTGAACATCAGACTCATTGCACTGACACAAAAAGACCATGTGGCTCATTTCAGGTGGTTTTGGCAGCACAAGTCCTCACCTTAATTTAGATTAGAGCTTTTCCACAGGTGGGAATGAGCTCTCCAGGTGCAGAGACCTACCTCTGCCAGCCAGGAGGGTGTCTGAGAGAACCCAAAACAGGCCCCTGTTTAGACAACACAAGAGCAAACGCCACACCTGCTTGGTTAATTAATTACCTCTGAAATTAAAGCCCATCAAACTGCACGGAGGCTTCGTGCAACCTGCGAATTAACTCCAGGGGAACCCAACCCGGGGCTGAGGGAGGCCAGGGAGCATCCAAGCAGTGGCTCCAAGCATTTTCCACAGCATCAACAAGGCCACAAAGGGCAAGAACTCAAAACACCACCCACCACCCCCCCGTCTGCCGGCACTTCAGGGTTGTTGTTTCGGCACCTCAGGGGTCTGTCGTTTTGGTCTGGCCAGGTTAAAACCTGCTCCATGCCATCGCAGGCTCAGGTGGCTGATAAGAAACCAATTTCATCACTTTAAGCTCCAAATGTTTATTGAAAGGGTTTATCTGCAAACCCCGCACTTTGAACTGTAGCTTTACTGCCAGCTTAAAAACACGGCGAGGGCCAGGTCTGGATTAACGTGGTGTGAAAGGAGAGTCTGAGCCTTCCCCTGCAGCCTCCACACAGGCCATGGCAAAGACAAGCTGCTTCTCGGGGCCAGGATATAACCCTTAGCAAAAAGCTCAGCATTTTGGGGGGGAAAAAAAGCCCCTTTTTTAGCAAGATGCTTGGGCATAGAAATAGTAATTCATGTAAATCTGGCAGAATCTCAGCTTTGCTGTAAATTGCTCTCGTTACTGGATGAAGTGGAGTTGAACCTCAGACACATTTTTTGCAGCCTTAGTCACCAGGGAAAATTAAAACAAGACCTGAAAGTCATCTTAAACTCATGGCAGGTTGTTTCCCTGCTTAAGGCAGAGCTTTACAGGTTGAGGGGAGTAATTTCTAGACCTTTCTGCATTGTAAGCACAAAAATGCCCTTCCACGTGTGCACAAGAGCATCCCCTAAAAACCAGGCAGCCACAGGACACCACAGAGGGAATACTTCCAAAGGGTAAGTTCTTCCCTCTCTGCTGTCCCCAAAAAGTCAGGCAAGGCTGGAAGGAGACAGACCTGCTCTGGCTTCTCCTGCCCAAGACACAACAAGCAGAGGAACCTCAGAGCCTCCTGAGAGCCACGTGCTCCAGTCATTCCTGCTGGGATTTCATGGAATCACAGAATGGCCTGGGTTGGAAGGGACCTTAAAGCCCATCTCATTCCAACCCCCTTCCATGGGCAGGGACACCTTCCACGGAACCAGGTCACTCAATACCCAAAACATGGACCTACAAGCAGCAGGCTCTTGGCCAGAGGAGACAATTCCAGGTCCAACCAACATTCCAGGGCACCATCCATGGCACCTTCACCCACCTGCCTAGACAACACCTCCTTTTCTCAGCACCTTTAATGGCAACATCAACATCCCAGGTTTTTTCCCCTGTAGGATCAAGCTCTTCCAGATCTCCGTGCCGGTCACATCCAGAAGTGCAGCAGATGTTGGTGCCAGTGATGGGACAGCTCTGCAAGGAGAAGCAGCTGGAGGAAGATCTGGATCTCCAGGGAAAGGGAGATGTTTTACAAGGGCATGGAGTGGTGGGACAAGGGGGAATGGCTTCCCGGTGCCAGAGGGCAGGGTTAGATGGGATATTGGGAAGGAATTCTTAGCTGTGAGGGTGGGGAGGCCCTGGAATGGAATTCCCAGAGAAGCTGTGGCTGCCCCTGGATCCCTGGAAGTGTCCAAGGCCAGGTTGGACAGGGCTTGGAGCAACCTGGGATAGAGGAAGGTGTCCCTGCCATGGCACAGGGTGGAATGAGATGGAGTTTAGGGTCCTTTTCAACCCAAAGCATTCCATGATTCTAAGCAGGAGGCAGGAAGAGCTTTGCAGGAGCTGAGGGATGTTCTCCAGCACAACCAGCTGATTCCCACATGGAGCCTGCAGGACTTTGCAGGGTCAGGCTGGAATTAGACACGCTCTTGATGAGGAAAGAAACCCTAAATATCAAACCAATGCAGATGGACCTTTCTTCTTTTTTTTTTTAATTAAAACTTGCTTGAAGTGCCACATAAAAGCACTGAAGTCCCAGGCACAGCTGACGCACTAGGACGGGTTTATATTTAGGAGAACAACTTAATTACTCCATCAGTAGGAAAGAAATGGCAACTTTTTTTGGCAGAGCCCAGAAGGAGAAAAGAAACCTAAAAGAGGGACAGCCACCACCCCCCGTTATTCCTAAGGGCAACATCCACTGGAATTTGAGCCTCCAAACAATCCACTTTTACAGAGAATTCAGCTTTGTTTTTTTCCCATGCCTGATCCCAGGAAACAACATTAAAGTCTCTCAGCCAAAACACATGATGTGCATCACAAGACAGCTGGCATCATTATTATTTTTAAATACCACCAGCTTCGTTTTTAACAGGACAACTGGAAATGTGTCATTGCTGAGGCGTAAAACAAATAGAGGGAGGTGATAAAAAAGCCATTCCCAAGTTTTGCAGGCTGGAGATTTAAAGAGAGATAGAGCAGAGCTCCCCCCAGAAAATACAGTCCCTTAAAATCTGCTGTTTCTCCTGCCACATTATTCACTTGGGAGCTTTTAGTTCCGAAGTCGGAGCGGTGCTCAGCCGGATTTCCGATGGCTTGCTGGGCCTCATCCCAAATTTCTCTGGCATTACTCACGTTTTTTTGTGCAGGAAGAGGGATGAGGATTTTCCAGTGAAAGGCAAAAGGGAGGCAGAAGTGTTTGCAGCATATGGAATGTGTCATTTCTCACGGACAGGCTCAGACCGCTGCATCCCAAGGATTCCCACATATCCCATCCACTGAAGGAGAAGGAAATCAGGATAATGCTTGGAATTCTGCACTGTTTGGGACCTGAGGATGAGCTGAGACCTCCCTGGCAGGATTGCTCTGGTAATGGATGCTCAGCCCAAAGGAAGTGCCCAGCATCACCTTCCCTGCCAGCCTTCCCACAGGGAACTACTCTCCACCCCCTTCCACAAGCTCAGTTGCCTTAAAGCAGCCCGAAACCAGGAACTAATTTTTAAGGGACTAAAAGGACCTGCCCTTTCCTAAGGGAAAAACACCTCCCTTTCCCCCTCCCAGCCAGGGAACCGTTGGATGCAGCACCAGCATCACCGCTCTCCGGTCACATCCCTTAAAGAGGCTGAAGAGCCAAAATTCCCATTCCACTTGTCCTGCCTGACTGCAGGGTGATCTGGACACAGGGATTTATTTTCCCACCACTACAAAAGCATTTCTGAAGTGGTTTTAAAGCCTACTTTTGAAGACATGAGCACCACAACTGCAGAGACCACGATTCAAGCCTCCGATGGAGCAACACAGATGCTCCGGGATCCAGTTTCCCAAACCCTCCAGGGCATGGATCCCTCCCCATTACCTAAAGGATGCATCTGCACTTGGGGATTCCCATCACAGCCAGGCAGCAGGAAAACCAGCTTCCCTCGGGATGTCTGCAAGGCCAGGGTTTAAAAGAGGTCGACACACGGAGATCAAGCCGGGATGGAACGGTCCCCAACGCAGAGAGAGGGTTAAACACTCACCCTTCCCAAATCCCTGCTCCAGGGCCCTGCATTCCTCTGCTCAAACTGACTGCAGGGCTTTTTTTTTGCTCACTCTTTCCATGCCTGGTCATGTCCTGCATCCTGGATTTGGGGGATGTTTTACAGCTCCTGTGAATAGGCAGAGCAGGAGCTGGAGAGGCACCAGCTGCTCTGGCACCTCAGGGGTGTCCCATGGCAGGGCAGGGGGCACAATCATGGAATGGTTTGGAAGGACCTTAAAGACCTTAAGAGTTCTTTCCACCCCCCTGCCATGGGCAGGGACACCTTCCACTAGCCCAGGCTGCTCCAAGCCCCCTCCAACCTGGCCTTGGAACTTCCAGGGATGGGGCAGCCACAGCTTCTCTGGGAATTCCATTTCAGGGCCTCCCCACCCTCCCAGGGAAGGATTTCTCCCCAGTATCCAGCCTAACCCTTCCCTCTGCCAGTGAGAAGTCATTCCCACTTGTCCTACCACCCCATGCCCTTGTAAAACACCTCCCTTTGCAGGTCCAAGAGCAGGGATACTCTGGAGGCCAGACCATCCCCTGGGGCCTGGGCTGAGTGATGTGTCCTACCCAGCCCTGGTCCCTGGGGCGGAGCTGCGACCTTGTTCCATGGCTCCCGTCAGGCTGCCAGACCCAGATGGGCCGTCTGGCTAATTGAGTTAATTAAAGCATTTTTCAGCAGTGATTAACTTTCAGGAGCGCTGCTCCAGCTCTCTCCGGGGAGCAGGGGCCACAGAGCAGCAGGAGAGCCGGGAAAAATGACTTGGAAGCACTTCCCAATTTCTCAGCAGCGTTTGCTGACTCAGAGCAAGTCGCAATCAGAAAATCCCCAAACCCCAGAACTTCGTCTGTTTTACAGGACTGAATGGGTGTGGAGAAGACCCAGGCAGTGGATGGATGCATGGGAGGAGACGTACCAGGCTGATGGCCCAATCCCAGAGCATCCTTCCCAGGCAGAAGTGATGAGCTCCGAAGTCCGGCGGCGCTGCCCGGCACCCTTGGGATGATAAGCTGGTCAAGGCCAGCGCTGGCTCTGTTCTGCTGACGGGGTAATTGCCCTCTCCCAGGGACAGTAAACACTTTGTGTCCAGAGATAACTATGGAAAACACTTCCAAAGACCCAGAAAAAGGCTTGTTTTGTGGCCTCGCTCCCCAGCAAAGACGTTGGCTGTTGGAAAGGAGATGCATCCCAGGAAGCTGGTATCAAAAAAAAAGGAACAAACCACCCCAAAAATAACTCACCCTGTCACTGGAGACTCTGTCTTCTTCCCCTTTCCAAAAAAAACCCCTACTTGTCTTTCTCTGCCCAGTCAAACACGGGATGAATCCCCACAGAGGTTCCACTCGTGTGGAGGCTGCTCCAATAAAGCTGCAGCCAGCAGCATCCATAGCTATGGAGCGGCCAAGAAAAACTTTGGGATGCACCCCCCATCTCCTCCTCCTTTTTGCTGGGATGTACTCACACATTTCCTCCTTTTGAGGGATGCACCCATCCATCCCATCATCCTTTTTTTTGCTGCATGCACTCGTGCACCTCCTCTTTTTTCTGGGATGCACCCCCCAACTCCTCCTCCTTTTTGCAGGATGCACTCCCCATGTCTTTCTTTTTCTGGGATGCACTCTCATCTCCTCCTCCTTTTTTCACAGATACACTCAGGTATCTCCTCCTTTTGTGGGATGAACCCACAAATGTCCTCCTCCTTTTCCAAGATGCACTCACGCATCTCCTCTTTTTTTTTTCCTACCTCCAAAAACCTTATCCATTGCAAGGACCAGTTGCTCCCAGGCCACGTGCACTGGGAATTATACCTTAGGGCCTCCAACAGCTCAGTCTGCCCCCAAGGCTCACCCACACACCCCAAAAGCCCCAGTAATGCTGGTTTTTCTGAGCAAGGGGGGATTTAAGCGCGGAGGGACTCGGGAGAGAGCAAGGAGCAAGCAATTCCCAAGGCTGGCCTTCCAGGCAGGCTGCCGGCTGGGAAACGCTTCCCAGAGCAACCCCACCCCGGGAGAGCTAATCTGATGGCAGGTTTTCAATGCAGCAGCCAGGATGCAGGAGGGGCTGGAGCGGGAGGGAGGCTGCAGAGGGGGGAAAGAAAGCAAGGAAATGCCACAGAGGTGAGGAGGCTTTTTCTGGCCGGGCCACGGCTTGTTTTGTTTCCCTGCCTCCAGCTCGCTGCCATTTTCCAGGAAGCTGGAGCAGCTACAAAAAACTGAGGAGTTTGTTTAATTATAGCTGTGGTGGCGTTTGTGCCGAGGGACCCGGCGCCGCTCTGGGAACGGATGGGAGCGAAGCCCACGGCACAGCAGCAGGAATAACGCAAGAATTCCAGACTTTACAGCTCCCACAGCGACGCAACCCGAGCTCAAACGTTGGTTTTACTCCCAAAGGCTTGGGAGACTTTAGTCTGAACTCCCTGTGTGACCAAATTCCTGCTCCTTTTGCTCCCTTCCTCCTCCTGGTGGAGGTGTCTCCTGGATGAACAACGCGAGCACCTCCCGCGGCGCCCAGCGAACTGATGGATGCTCCAGCCAAGAACCCACCCATGGACTCAGTCCAAATTCACAGGATAATTTAGGTTGGAAAAGCCCTTTAAGATCACTGATTCCAGCAGCAGTGACCATCAAACGCCTCCTGCCTTGCTCTCCTCCACTGACCCAGCCAGTGACGCCCCATTGTCCAGCTCCAAAGAGCCTTTTTTCCCTGTTCCTAAGGAAACAGGCAGCGTTGTTCAAACAAGGCCACACACCAGGCAAACCCCTCCCCCTAAATACAACCTAAAGCACTTCATACAGATGACCTAAAGCACTTCATCCAGGCACAACAGGAGAAGGCAGCTGCTGGATTTACCCCCGGAGAGAGGGAAGCAACAGCTTTGCCCGGAGCTCCTTTGGAGCACGGGATGAGCAACCCACCCCCACGACTCCACACTGCAGCCACGATGCTCTGCTGGGTCAAAGGTTTCTGGAGTCAGCCAGAAAACATCTGGGTTTGCTTCGTGGCACTGATTTCCCTCTTGAAAATGATGGGATGGTCCCCAGGGCAACCCTCCCGTGGGGCAGGAGAGGGGGCAGAGGGAGCAACTTCAGAGAACACAGAGCACTGGGAAAAGGAAAGGCTTTCACATTATTATTACTGTTATTGTTATTATTATGTACAGCTTTCCCCATCATTTACCAGGGCTGCAAACCAGATGTGCATCAGCATCCCTTCAATTTACATCAAAGCACCCAGACGAGGAAGAATCAGAGAATCCCAGACTGGTTTGGGTTGGAAGGACCTTAAAGCCCATCCCATCCCATCCAAATTCGTCGCATCGCCCATCCCATCCATCATCCATCCATCATCCCGATCCACCCTGCCATGGGAGGGACACTTCACTAGCCAGGTGCTCATCCTGGCCTTGGCACTTCAGGGATGGGGCAAGCGTAGGCCAAGCCTCTCTGGGGCACAAGCCTGTGCCGGGCTCTCAGCCTTCCCCAGGGGAGGCCCCTGGCAAGGTTTTTCCAGAGAAGCTGTGGCTGCCATCCTGGAAGATGTTCGCAAGGCCAGGTTGGACGGGGCTTGGAGCAGCTGGGCTAGTGGAAGGTGTGCTGCCACGCAAGGGGTGGGATGGGATGGGCTTTAAGGTCCTTCCAACCCAAACCAGTCTGGGATTCTCTGACGATCTTGTCAAGAGGATATGGGATGTACCACCTTGTCACTGCTGGATCTGGAGCAACCTCCCTCCTGGCAGAGCGGGAACACCCACTCCCATAGGAACAGCCAGGAATATTTAGCCCCAGGACTTGCAATTGGTTTTGTTCCCTGGGTAATGAGAGCTGCTCCCAGCAGTTGATATGCCAGCTTGGAATGACGGCCTCCCGGCACAAAAATAAACCCTGGGACAAACCGACATGGAATCACCGGGTCAAAACCAGAAATATCTCCTGGGGTGGGGGGGAACTGGTCAAGGGGTTCCTAACAGAGGAGCAGCAGGTTGGCCACAAAAAAAGTGGGATTAAAGACAGTAGCTGGTGTTTGTGGGACGAGTGATTCCTTCCAAAAACACGCAACCCACCCAAAATGCCAACTTTGTCAACATAGGAAAAATAAAGTGAATCCAAGGACAGGATGAAAGAGTCAAAAGTTTTCTGGTCAGCTCTTTGATCCATGAAAAACTGACTTTACCCTGGGAACACCTGGACCTGCAGCCCCCCCAGGCAGCAAA